ACAGAAATGATGGGCGTCTACCGTGCACCAAGTGCGGATTGTGCTGCAGGTCGTGACTAAGGATGGACACGGGTCGCGGGTACACCCGCGGGTTTGTACCCGCGGGTATGGGCGGGTACGGGTACGGGTCGCGATTTCAGACCCGTGCTCAACCCGCAGACCCGACCCGTGTACCCGCGGGTCTGTGAACTCCAAAATGCTTTTATTTCCTGCACAAAGTAGGCAGAAATCCGACCTTCACAGGATGTTGCTCGTAGTCTCGCAAAAGGCTTTCATCAGAAATAAGTTAGTATAGGTTTTGTAAGGCAGTATGAGCCTATAAGATCTAGGGGGGCTACATATCGCAGAATGGTTATCGGAACCTATAACTCAGTCTGGTCAACCCTGTTGCCAAAAACCATCACGCCAATTCTTTCCGACCTTGTACAACTCCATTGTGTCTGTCGTGAAGAGACAAAGAAAGCGTTCATTGAAAATCCGAACCACATACAGTAGATAACAATATAATTGCTTATTCTTATGACCTACTTATGAGGCTTTGGTTGTTGTAAGTTGTGAAAGTGTGGACGTACCTTCGGTCTACCTTTTACCACACTGTACTTGACAATAAGACGTCATTTATGTTGGAAATGTCGCGGGTATACCCGACGGGTTTGGAGACCCGCGGGTGCATCGAGGACCCGCGGGTACCCGCACGGGTTTTAGACCCGACCCGTATACGGGTACGGTTTTTGCGGGTACGGGTACGGGTACGGGTACGGGTACGGGTAGGCCTGAAGGTACCCGCGGGTATACCCATGTCCATCCTTAGTCGTGACTGTGAATAGGTGACCGATTTATTTGCTCGATATATCAATGTCGCGGATGAAACTAAGTTACCATCATGGACAAGATTGAGCTAGAGGAGTTCAAGCCCGTCTCCACTGTTTATCTACTCATAATCATCCTTTCTCGTTCAAGCCCAGTACATTGCATGCTCATTAAATCATCTAGCTCAACCAAGGGTTTAAGCCGAGATCCCGGGGGGAAGCCACTACCTTGGGGAGGTACGTCCTCGAACTCATGCTCCTCAGCCATTTCAGCACCGCGATATTTTGGATGCGGTGCACGCTCACTGTCACTACCCCTGTGGTTTAGGTTGAAGTGGAAGGACTGGGTTCGACTCCCGGCGTCTAAATGGCCGTGAAACATTTCTTTTATGACTTTTTCTGTTTGGCCACTGTCCATATTGGACTACTATCAGCCACCAGGTAGTCGGCCACCTTAAGCTTTTATCAGTAATTGTCAAATGCATTCAGAGGATTTCCCGGGCTTGTGTATGCCAAATCGAAGGTACACATCCTACAATTCGTTTGAGGTAACCCAGCCGAATTTAGGTGACGTCCCAGTGCTGCAGTGAATTTCTTTCTGCCGGCATGTCCCGAAAGGGGATAAACAGGGTAGTCGGCCACCTCACTGAATGAGCCGCTGAAGAAGGGACTGGCGACAAATTGTGTCCAGATTGGAAGGTCAGGTCTAAACCAAGGATTTGAGATGGTTAGTGTGTACATATAAGCTACAGGAAAGGTATGAATATATATTTTGAAAGGTGGATAGTCTGCCAAGATGGCAGGTGTCAACAAACCGAGTGCCTAGTTAGAGATAGGGGAGGTATGAGCTAAATTTAAGCAACGGTTGAACTAATAGAATGTGTTTAAGCATATCTGGCACAAAACTTCAATCTCTAGACACTCACAACTTCGGCAAAAATCTCGAACTCCTGCTACACTGAAATTGGCTGGTTTGGGGTAATGGTGAAGACCGAGAGCGAGCCTAAATAGTCAAAAAACGGATGGACATCCGAGAATGGAGTATGATTAATAAAGAAGGCCCAGGCGAGATACCAGACCCGTAGTGTGAATGGGTCCTGGAATATGCGGGTAGGTTACTGGAGTGGGTCACAAGAGCAGCAAAGTCTTCTTCGGGGTCCCACACAGCCATACTGTTTCCATATCTTTCACACAATATTACAGATTGATTTCCTGTATTAGGGCATGATAACGAGCCTGAGAAGTCGTGAAACGGTGCAGAATTCGTGAAGAAAGAGCCATGGCGAGCGTCGGCCGAAGGGATCAGTTAAGAAATGATGGTTCTCACCCTTCGGATTCCGATCCGACTTCACGTAACTTTTGATCCAGACATCACTTTGGCGGTACATATGGTCTCCCAAGGTTGTACTTGATCCCTCGAGGTCAAAGGGCTATAATGCCCAACTCATTCACGAAATATTCACGGGTGGCCGACTACCTAGGGGTGACTGACTACCTAATGGCTGATAGTATGTTGCTTCGGAACCATAAACGTGCGACCGCGAGGGAATGAGGTAGGCCCTCGGCCATTTACAATGCACTCCCAGCCAAATACTTTGATTCAGATGTTTAGCTATTTAATTTCGGGGTTTCATGTACCATCGGTCCTGGAAAGGTGTTGTGAATTTTTGTTCTGAGATCTGGAACACATCGGTACCAGGAATACCTCCTCGAAACTCTCGCGCCTAACCAAGTTGAACAGAGGGACAGGGAGAACCTCGGATGTGCGGCACGGCGCTTACCCAGTCTTCCTGACCAAGCCACTGGCTTGGTCAGCTTGGCTGGCAGAAGAAATGGAGGTGAGTTCCGGCGTCCGTTGGGCGTCCGAATAGTTGATGGGCTGAGGGATTTCGCTTTTTTGAACGTTCAACCAAAGGAAAACCAATTAACGGACCTGCCTTCCTCCGTTGTCGGTAACACTATTTTCTGACGAGGATGGGTTTCAGACAGGAAAAGCTTATACCAGTTTCTTCCGCCACGTTCTCCATCAATTCGCCGAGCCAAAAAATCTTCTACTTATCCCTCTGTAGTACAGCAGAATATATTTAGCTGTGGTTTGCAGCGCGCACCCGCGCTAAATAGTGCTATGAAAACAGCAATATTCAGAAATCTCAATCAGAATGAAGCCGCCGGCCTAAGAATTTTTAATTCATGACCACCCGTCCTCAAACTCTCTCACCTGTCGACACGGCCAACAGGATAATTCGGACATGGTGTACGGTATGCGCCTTTGTGCTTTTTGGTTGCATGCCGCTGAGATACATATTTTAAACATCCAGAAACTGAGAAGAAAAATGCTAAGCCCACGGAAGTGGCACAGAATTATTCAAGGAAAATTGGTCGTATCTTGCGTGAGAAAACGGCGGCTCCGAAACTCCCGAGGAATCAGTCCGATCGTCCGATCGTTTGTCCTCAACGCCTCCAACTTTTCTTTAACACTTTCCCCGGTGGCATCATGTTTCAGAGCGTCAATGAACACCGTTAGGAAGCCAGAGGATCCAGTTCGAGGTGCGTACGAATGGGTGCCAGATGACGTGGAGAGGGAGTCATTACCCACCACACGTCACGGTGCTGCGCCCGCCGCTGCCGAGTTACCGCGCTCAAAGTTGTCGAGGCGCATCAAGACAGGGGCGACCGACATCGTCACAGACACAGGGATCGAGGCCAGGACCCCGCGCGCGACTCGGACAAACCACGCCGACGCCACCGTACACGCACTCCCCACCGACACCCCATGCCCGTGCACCGCGCCGCCGCGGGAGGCGTCTACATCCAACAGCCTGGAACCCCCCAAGCGTAGGCGTTCTATGGCGCGGCTGGACCCGGGCCATGCAATACTGCGCTCCAGGGCCGGGTTACTTCTCCGCCCCGCCTTACTCTCACCACCACCGCCGCCGCAGCCACCGCAATAACAACGACAGTTCAGCCGCTTGCGCTCGTCCTCGCAGGCGCAGATGCCCCTACCAGCAGGGGCCGCCACAACCGACGTGCACATGCAGCTACTCCTTCGCCTCCTTCACGTCGGGCATCTGCGACCCGCAGACCGCTCCTGGCGCTTATGGGTCGGAGCAGGAGGCGTATTCCATGCTATACCCGTAACCGCCGGGATATGGGAACGGGCCGCCCGGGCACGCGAATCCCGATACTCGCACACCCGGCGCTGCTTAACCAGCCCCGGATGATGAGCCCCACAAATATTTTTTGGAGTGTTCGCCTTGCAGCTCTGTTACCCGCCACCATCCAACTACGGCCCAGCTTCGTCTGTTACGCGCACCTCATCGCTATCCCCCGTGATACGGCACCTCACCCCTCGGCATCGTACATAAACCTATAATTGCCTAACCACCTGCATACATTGGGCAATTACGTGTATCTTGGATTTTGACTCCACCCGATTGAGTCTGCGCCGTGTGTGCGTTGGAGGGGAGTGAACCATGTAAATGTGTGAGCGTCGATTTTTCGATCGTCATGAGCTCTTCAATATCAGATACTCGTATTTATGTGAGTACTCACATTGAGGAAGGTATCTCGGACGTGGTGTACAGCGCACACCCATTGTTTCTGTATGATTATGTTTGAGGTTCTGTGGGAAGTCTGGGTTCAACTCCCAGCGTCCGAATAGCCGCTGTAGCGTGCCACTTTTTGCGGCCGTTTTTTTCAGACGCAGAATTCAGTGAACTTTCCCGTTGGCTCCTTCGTCTGAATCAGAATCACTCGGCGCATTCGGTACGGATGCCAGTACGTTTCGAGTTCAAGTTGGAAGAGTTTCATTGCAGTTTGATCGATCAATATGCAAGCTCAAATCTCATCTGTCTCCTCACACGAGCTGCAAGGCAATTCGAGCGTAGTGTACGGCGCACCACCATCATTTCTCACCTAGATACACGTGGATTCAATGGCGTGCCAAGGCTTGGTTTCAACTCCCAGCGTCCGAATTACCGATTCAAGTCGGCTTTTTTGTTTTTGGACACTAGCTTCCTTTTAGGTTATGTTCTAGATTTTCCCCCGCTCTCGCTTGACTGAGCCCCCGTTCTCGATGTAGATACTTCAAGTTCAAATTCAGTAAGTGTGTTTGGCGCGAGGTCGATCATAGAAATGAAATCAATATCCATATTTCATCCAGCTATCCAGAAGCCCACAGAAAAGAATAACTCGGACGTGGTGCACGGTGCACGCCACTACTTGTAGGCAAATATCCATTAAATTGTGTGGAAAGCCTGGGTTCGACTCCCAGCGTCCGAATAAGCGGCCAGTACTTGTATGCTTTTATTTTTTATTTATTGTCCATTTGCTTGCTTTTTTTCGGAACGCTGACGTCGCTTGATTTTTTAATCTTTATCCAGGGATTGTCTGAATTCGTATCATTTGCTAGCGCTGCGGATGGGTTTCAAGTCCAAGTCAGTGTCCACGACGTTGATTCAAAGCCCACCCATTCACTTACAGACTGGGATGATTGGATGTGGTGCATGATGCACACCCGTACCCAGTGATCCGGCAAAAGACCGGCGGCTGGGTTCGACTCCCAGCGTCCGAATGCACCATTGGCTTCTCGCCTTTTCACTTATTGCTTTTGGTATTTTGACTTAACACTCTCTCACTCATTTACTGACACGACCTGCGGGATACCTCGGACGTGGTGCATGGTGCACACCCGCTCTTTATAGTTCGATAAAATTGAGGAACTGCATCTGAGGCGGGAGGCCTGGGTTCGACTCCCAGCATCCGAATTTGCCAAATGCTTCTTACATTTTCTTTTTTGGGTATCCGAGTTCAGCTTGCAAAAAGGGAGTGTGTTTGTCGAGGACCAATCAGCCTGGAACTCTTGCTGGCCTATCTATTCACGCGACCTGCAAGATAAGTCGGACGTGGGGCACGGTGCGCACCCGCTGTTTATAACAGTGGTGGAGCAGTTGTTTCTGTGGGAAATCTGTGTTCGACTTCCGGCGTCCGAATGAGTGGGAAAAGAATTATTTTCTATTCGCAGGCGCCCTTCAAAATTCACTCACCTATCCACTCACACGACCTGCAGCATAACTCGGACGCGGTGCACGGAATGAGATTCGCTCTGGCAAGCGTTTTTAAGGCACAAAACGTTTATGGACCTTCTCGTCTTCTTTCTTCTTCTGGGTCTCGATCAAGTCATTTTGAATTTTATATCCGCACGCTCAGGAGGGCTGGTTCGAATTTAATGTGCAATTTAAAGTGAATGGCCCTGACTCCTCAGAACTTACTCACCCACCCACGCACACCAAGATAAGTTGGACGTGGCGTGCGGTGCACACCCACTCTCCTTTCCGTGTCAGTCAGGGATTATGTGGGAAGCCTGGGTTCGACTCCCGGCGTCCGGAATGGAACGTGGAGTTACTGAGTTTCCTTTTGGTTCGCTGCTCAAAGACTCACTCGGCTATCCACTTACAAGACTTGAGGGATAACGCCCACGATTTCTTCTATGATATCATGAGCCGTAAGAGTGGGAAGCTCGGTTCGACTCTCAGGTTCGACTCCCAGGGTCCGGATGGACCCTTTGGGTGCTTTTTTTTTTTTTCGCCTGATCGATTTTGATTCAGTGGACGTCAAGTTCGCCTCTTTCTCCTTCCCTTGTCTTAATCATGATTTCCTAGCTAAGACAGAAACATGAAAAAATGCGCGTGAAAATGTCAAAATCGTACGCCAGGCGTTGAGCCCAATTTTTCCACCTCACTGGTCACTTTCACTGGATGAGAAAGAGGCTGCGCCGTGCACCACGTCCAACTTGATCTGGCTATTGTGAGCGAGGCAAGGTATAGGAGTTTCGAGGACGTCGTGCCCTTCCTTCGAGGCTTATTTGTTGAATCCAAGAAATGCTCAAATTGGAACTGAGCTAACCGAAGCGATATTATCAAGGCCTCGCCTTTAGTATGGTTTCCAGAATAAAAATACTCAACATGCCACCTCCCGACCAGGCAGAGACAACAGAAAAATAGAAATAATTTGCTGGAAACCATGCGGATGCCGGGAGTCGAACCCGGTTCTCCCATCTCACTTGTATTCCGATTCATCATTAGCAAGAATGAGTGTGCACCGTGCATCACGTCCGAGTTCATATCCCACCTTTAAACTTGGTGAGACGAAAGAGTTTTGAGAACATACCTCTCTCCTACGGCGATCTTCGGGCTGAACTCTTGATTGAACCGCCTGACTTGATCGACATCAACTTGTAATGTACTAGGCTGACAAGAGACCCGATGATCATAGTCTCTGGTGGACAGACGCTCTATATGATCCAGCTCGTACCTCGCTATATACGAAGATCATAAGAAGCTCGTAGGTAAGTATTCTACACCCCGACAAGAACGAAATAAACACCCCCAAAGAAATCAGTGGACGAAACGCCAGAATTTAGACGCCGGGAGTCGAACCCGGTCCTCCCGCTGCCTCTTTTATTCATAATTAGAATAGGCGTGCACCGTGCACCACGTCCGAGTTCATATCGCACCTTTAAACTTGGCGCGCTAAAAGAGTTTTGAGGACATGCCTCTACCCAACGGCTTCTTCGGCGATCTCGGGGCTGAATTCTTGGTTGACTTGATCAATGTGCAATGCTCTAGGCTGAAATAAGAGGCCATCGTGCAAAAAAAAAAACGCGCACATGGCCCCGAGTTTGGACGCCGGGAGTCGATGCCGGTCCTCCCACCTCACATTCAATTTGGAAACTTGTAAGAAGAGTGGTGATGCACCGTGCACCACGTCTGAGTTCCTATCCCTGTTCAACTTCAAGTTGGTGAGGTACAAAAGTTGGGAGGCCGCCTCGCTTGCTCAGAGTGTCCGAATGAAAAATATCGAAACAATAACGGAACACGAACTTGAGCAGATGAGATCAAAGCGCTAACACACCGCAAGGGGGACAAGAGAAATCAAGAGAAAACGAATACTGGTCTAATCTCAACCCACTCGGACTCCGGGAGTCGCACCCAGTCCCGCCATCGACGTTTGCACGTGGATTAGATAGTAAGTGCGGGTCTGCACCGCGCCGAGTTTCCATTACTCTCTTCAACCCAGCGAGGTACGAGAGTTCGAGGACGTCGTACCGTTACCCAAGCCTTTCTGGCTGTGAGGAAGTTGAACTGGTTGATCCCTCCACAAAAACTGAATATAACATCGACAATGCAACTGAGGCCTACACAGGATCGATATCAGGAAAAAGACGCCAACGACGGAACGAATTAAAACATTTCCCCACCAATAGGTAATTAGGACGCCGGGAGTCTAACCCGGGGCTCCCTCCTCACATTCCTGTTGCCAACCCACAGGAAGAGTGGGCGTGCGCCATGCACCACGTTCGAGTTCCTATCCCACTCTTGAACTTGCTGAGGTACGAGATTTGCGAGGTCGCCTCGCTTGCTTAGAGTGTCCGAATTAGAATATCAAACCAGAACAGAACACGAAGCTGGGCAGATCAGACCGCTGAAAACGGCAACGGAAGAAAAGAAAAGAAACAATGACATGCAAAAAAAACTGACTGGACAACATCAAATTCAGACAACGGGAGTCGAACCCGGGGCTCTACGTCACATACTTCTACCCCACGGCGCCGGCCTCCTTCGGCCATCTCGGAATTGAGTGCAGTCTTGATTGCGCTTGAACCGCTTGACTGGGTCAACATGCGATGTACTAAGCTGAAAAAAACACGGGGGTCATGAAAAGCTCATAAGTAAGTATGATTCAGTATTCGACATACCGATAAGAAGGCTAAGCATGTAAAAAAACCCGAGGGAGGACATTGAATTCGGACGTCGGGAGTCGAACCCGGGCTCCCACCTCATTCGTCCCTCCTTGATCAGAAAGAGTAGGGGTGCACCGTTCACTACGTCCGAGGTTTTATTATCCCTACCGTAAAAGTCGTTGAGGTGAAAGAGTTTTAGGACATACCTCTTTTCTTCAGCGATCTCGGAATTGAATTTCTCTTGGAGTTGATCTGCTTGATTTTATTTGATCAACGTGCACTGAAATGAAAACGATGGTCATGACCTCTGAGCAGAAGCTCATAAGTATCATTGACTAGAAAATTTAAACAGCTAAAAAAGAGAAACCCAAAGAAAACAAAAAAAAACATGGAAACAAAATGTATCGACAACATCGAATTCAGAGACCGGGAGTCGAATCCGGCGCTCTCACATTTTTCATGGAATAGTCGCAGTGGGCATGCGCCGTGCACCACGTCCAAGTTCATATTCCTCTTTTCAATTTGGTCAGGTACGAGAGTTTTGAGGACATACTTCTACGCAGCGGCTTCCTTCGGCGATTTCGGGGCCGAACTACTCTTGATCAACGTGCAACATATTGGGCTGAAATGACAAATGATGATCACGAGAAGCTTATAAGTATGAGAGAGTGGACAAAAAGCTAAGAGAGATACATGACTTGGGATTGGGCCTCCTCGAGGCGGGTGCTGAACCTTTAGGTTCAAGTTTCATCTGTCAATTTGAAGCAATTTGAAGACCTTGAAACAATTTTGTTGGATAGGCGCTTAGATAAACTTAAAGCCTGTGATATGCAATCCCGGACCGGGTTACTTCGGCCAAAAATTGACAGAAGTCCCAATTTGGCTATGGAGCGTCGGTTCAAATAAATTCGAAAAGATGGGGGCTTCCACCTGGGCCACTGTAGAGCATGATCCCCACTATGTGACTGTCTAAACTGTTGCACTGATTTGTTTTCTAGAGCTCACGGCCATTGTACTATCAGTCACCGAGTACTGGGCCACCTTAGCATTGTTTACCTTGGTACTACCCATGACGCGTGATGGTTCAAGTATATGGGCTCTCAACTAAAGTACGCACCCTGGAAATAATTTAAGATATTTTCCACGAATTTACGCTATGGTTTCATGGCATACTGAATTCTTCTTTCGGCGGTATCCCAAAATGGAAAAAACGGCCTAGTGGGACACCCAGCCTCCTCGTTGGTGTGCACTCCTCCTGTTCACCCCAGTGTGTCCCGAATCGTTCAATGTACAGTCTCAGTATTCTGCCCACTTAGACTATAGATTCTGAGGTGTATATGGACCGTAACTATTTACCTTTCACCACATGTCAGATGGAATGGGTGAGAAACTACTGCTGCTGTAAATCACAGACAGCAACAACACCCCAAAATAGGGTCAGAATGTGTTGATAAGAGATAATAGACCACACCTAATCACAAAACATATCCCCAACATACCCGTAACCCCTCAGAAAAAATCCATTTATATGTGCCAGTGAAATTCGGTACCACCCCGAACATCAAGTCCCATGATTAAAGAGCAAACCGGTGTGGGAGGACACCTAACAATCTGTATCAAATCCAGCTATGAAGTTCCAGATCTGGAGCAGATGCAGGTGGATTGCTATAGAGGTGGCCAGATTGCGCTGCTCGCCGAAAGCAGGTTGTGATGTTGTTGCTGAGCCCAGGGACGTAAGAATGGTATTTCGGGATATCACCGAAATCATTCTAATGAACCAGGGGATTCAAACGAGCTCGGAATCTTGGAAATTGGCCAAGAATTGGCGGAGAAATAAGCAAAAGACGGGCTCGGACTGCGTCCCGGCTGGAAGGCGGTTCGGGGATGTGCCCATGCCGGCATCTTGATAGAAAACCCGCCACAGTTTGATAAGCGCCCGAATGTCAACGGATACCGTCCCGAACATAAAGCAGAAATGACTAATGACAGAAAATCGAACGCAGAGAATGTCCTTGGTTCTAAGGGATGAAATGGGCTTGCTCCGCGGGATTCAGGTCGGTAAGAAGTTGAAAAACATATCCTTACACTTTGATTTATTTTTAGGTCTTTCCCTGATTTCTTTCAATTTTATTCTTGCGATGACCAATGTTGCTTGACTAAATCTTTGTTTGTACATATAGCAAAAGCTACCGAAATCCAAGTTCCCCTGGGTAGCCAAACCTAAAGGTTCAGCAATCATACATGCAAAAAAAGAAGAAAAAACAACAACAGAAACCTACCGAATTCGGACGCCGGGAGTCGAACCCGGGGCTCCCACCTCAGTTGCATGTTCTTGCTCCGGAAGAGTGAGCATGCACCCTGCACCACGTCCGATTGCTCGTGACAATAGAACAATTCGTAGTTGGTTGTTCAAATCCTTCTGCGGCAGCAGAGCCAAAGCGAGCTTTCAATCGGGTCATGATTAGGATTCCATCTATGGCTTTGGTCCTGGGTCTCGTTGGATACTTTCCCGAAGCAGGCTTGGTGAGTCTTAAGACAACCAACAGAGCCAATATGACTTCACAGTGGTCCGAAACACTGATTATAATGCCACAGTAGGGGATCAAGGTTCTTATAGCTATATAGTAAGCCAGGAGCGGATGTGAGGCCATCAACCCCCCGAGCGGAGGTTCAAGCCTCACCTCGGTCTCCTTGTATTGTAGAAAGCTCAATAGTGCTCGCTCCTACCTAAGTACCTTGTCTCATACGCGACTTTCATACTGCCCGAAATCGATCACTTGGAATGATGGCGACTATTCTGGAATCTGTGAACTGAGCAAATTGGAAAAAGGGTGTAGTGACTATTTTCAAATGATGGTAATGTATTTCTCTGTCTCCCTCTCCCAGAACAGTGCTTCATTCAGAAGCATTTTCTTTCTGGATATTTCATGTAAAATTACATGTCTTTCAACCGTGTTTTGTCAAGCTACATCTTTTTCACAAATTTAACCGTGTTGTGTGACTTTTATCTATCGTACAGTATATGTACCATATATTATCAGTGACTGCCTAGTCGGCCAGAGTAGCTAGTCGGCCACTTGCGTAATATAAGGTGTTGCGATGTATTATTTTGAGATTTGGTGCCTGTAGGATGGACTACGAGTTATAAGGATATCGTACATCAAATATGAAGGCCAGCCGATACGGCGATCGGAAACTGTGGGAGATTCTCTGTCAAGATTGTGGCATGTGAACATCATTTCTTATCTCCGAACGACCTGCACTAAGATGGCCCTTATGAGTCAGAACGGACGGTTTTGCAAGGTGGCCGACTAGGCCGTTTTTTCCAAATTAGGATACCGCCAGAAAAGAAATTCGGTAGGCCATGAAGTCGCCGCGTAAATTCGCGAAAAATATCTCAACTCACTCCCAGGATGTATACCCTTGTTCTGGAGTCCATAAACATGTAATTAGGTGGATTAATGTGCGTGCACGGGGTCAAAAATGCTAAGGTGGCCGAGTGGGCAGTTTCCGATAATAGGTGACACATTCGAAGCGACCGAGGTCGAGTTGAACGGGCAGAGTTCATCGAGTTCGCGCGGGGGGGGGGGGGGGGGGGGCTCACCGAGTCAAACCCCCGGACTCAATCACTGACAACCGCCCCCACATAGGTCACCGGCGCTCGCGCCTGGTGCAAAATCGGACAGCACTGCGACTATCCCGACGTCAACCTCTCGCAGCTCACGCAAGCAAAGTTCCTCAACGGGCTGCTTGTTAATGAACATGTCAAGTGTGTTTTTTCCCCATCCCCAGAACTCTCATCCTTGAACGATCTACAATTTCAGACTGCAAGGCGTGCCGAGGAGGCCCGGGAATCAAGCCGGGAGCGGCCGTCATCGAACCATCACCGGCGCAATGTCGGCGCGCGCGGTCGCAGGTAAAGCCGTGCCCGCCGACACAGGTTTTCAACCTCAAACGCCGCGTTGCGTGGAATTGCCTCCAAAGCATCACTTGCATTTGATTTCAGCGCGGAGTTTAACGATATCTTTTCGCGCTAGAGTTTCTCATCTCTGACCAAACCACTTCTCCATTTACCGAGCCGCCTCTTTACTTGCCGATGCTGCCGCGTGGTTCCTGGTGCTATACCCGCTCAAACTGCTATGGCATCGGCGCGAGTGAGCGCGAAATGAACGACAGGTGTTTGAGAAGTGCTATTGACTGTGGCTCTTGTCAAAATGCTCCGAAATGGGGCCGGCAGTAACCAATAGAGAGCTCAACCGTGTGCCACTTTTTAGTTTAGTGGCTGAGATACTTAAAGAACCATATGATTGGAAGCTATATGTGAACTTCTATTCATCAATTTCGTCACTCCTTGCTGGTCTACTCGCGATCTGCATCTTCAAGCCCTCCACGGATAAAATTATACGTGCAGTTCGAACTGCACGTGTCAGCACTGTGAGCTATCGTCGGAAAAAACTCCTCCGCAGTGGCGGATCACATACGTTACTTGCACAATTCGAGTCAGAGAAAAAGTGATTCTAGGTCTGACTCTCCGGTCGGGCCGTTCATTTCACATTTCATAACGCCAGAAACGAAGCTACTGTAGTGGCGCAGCTGTTTCATGCGTCGTTCCTCGGCGGATCAGTTCTAGCTACTGTCCGCCAGTCACATGCCCGTCCTCACTCATCCACCACTGGCGTACAGATTTCACACAATTCTTCTCATCGAATCCCATTGCATCCCTGTTCTACTTTGACTATTCAACACGCGAGGTACGAGCGCCGTTTGTTGAAGTGGCTGTCTGGGTGAGACTAACGCAGGCCAAATTCTGACGAGGGTTGGGGAAGGTGATCATGGGCCGCCATCCCCGTTGCAGAAAGGCAGACTCCGGTCATTCAACTCGCGTCCGACGTCCAACTCACGTCCGACGTCCAACTAGCGTCCGACGTACAATTTGTCTCATCGAAGAGGCTTTGTTGAACATATGTATCTATCCTTTTCAAACTTTTCGGCACGATTGCAACGCGCTGATGTTCCTCATCTCTCGATGGCAGGAGCTTTAAGTCCGGTGAGTACTGGAGGCAGGATACGACGCAGGCACCCTATAGGCCTACCAATTGGCGTACTCCGTATTCCTCGAACCTCTTAGCTCACCCATCTCATATTCTTCCGGTCTGCTGCGCACCCGCCACCGGATTCCAACCTTGAGACCGCCCGGCGAGCATCAGTCGTAAGTCCTGCGGCGGTCATAGCATCCAGGGGGCGATTCCCACTTTCGTCGCCGCACATGCTCGGCTAAAATTACCTCCCGTCGGTCTATGGATGGTAGAAATTCTGCATGTGTTCATGTTCAATGTCCTCAAGCTAGGTCCCTCCTCTGCTCTACTTCGACATGCATTTCTCTAAGGCCTTCACTGCTCTGGTTACTACGCTCATCTCAACCGCTGTTCACGCGTCCCCAGCCGATCCCGGGACGTCCATCGCGAAACGCACTCCCGGAAATATCTATGTCTGCAACGAGTTGAATTGGATGGGCTGGGGCTCCACACCGTGCACAGTCGTTTCGGCGGCCAACACCTGCTTTACGCTTGATGCCAGTTGGGCGTACGAGATCGGCAGTATTGGGCCCGACGCTGGCGCCACCTGCTACGGTAAATAATACTGCTTTCTCATCCTCGCGGCCGCATCTCATGTATATGTCCTTCCATAACAGGTTATTCGTCCGTCCCTTTCCCCTTTACATTTCCTATGTGTTCCGTGAATATTAAGATCGGAGTATAGGAACACCGACTGCACTGGTACCGATTGGAGCTTCACCTACCCCGGTGATGCCACTGGTGGTTGGGCGACCTCTAGTCATTGGGAGAACGAGGTTAGTTGGTGTATTGATTGTGGCAAGCGCGTGTTTACATTCCATTAGATTGGTAGCTTCTGCTGTGACTCCACGGGCAGTGGCTGCAGCGGTGGGGGTGGGTCGCCGCCCCCCACCTGCCCCGGCACGTATAGCGGAGATGGCATGTTTTGAAATGGGTACAACTCCAGCCTGTGCTTATGACGAAAACCCTCGCAGGAACCTATTACTATCCCGGCGGCGGAACCGGCGCATGCGGCAGCACCCTCCAGAACTCTGACATGATCGTCGCCTTGTCCTTTGCCGACTATGCCGGCGGCGCCAACTGTGGGAGGGACATCATCGTTTGCTGTCAGCGCCCCCTCTTCTATTCTGCGGTGACTGTTGCCGACGCTTTTCTTGTCTGTTTAGATGGGGGCAATAGCGTCCAAGTCACAGTGAAGGACGCGTGCGCAGGCTGTGTCGGGGATAGCATCGATTTGTCCTCGGGAGCGATGTCCCTGCTTGACCCGAACTACCTTAGTGCGTAACCCATTGCATTCTCACCCACGCACCTCACCATTTCATTTCTGTGCAGTCGATGGAAGGATCCAAGTTACCTGGTCCTGGGCCTAGGATCAATGAGTCCAGCCTAAATGTAGTTGTCTGACGGCTCCAAACCTCTTCTCTTCAGATTTCCCGCTCTTACTTCCTTTCCTTTGTCTGTTGTCCCGAGATTATGTTGCCCGTTTTTTTTTTCGGTACCCGAGATAAAAATGTACAAGTTTGAATCTGGAAATGTTACTTACTAATACTGTAAAACAGCTAGCAAAGAAACAAAAACAAAAACAAAAAGAATAAACATGGAAGCAAAATGTTTCGACAACATCGAATTCAGATGCCAGGAGTCCAACCCGGGGCTCCCACCTCGCCCACATTTTTCACGGAATAGTCGCAGTGGGCGTGCACCGTGCACCACGTCTGAGCTCCTATTCCTCTGTTCAATTTGGTAAGGTACGAGAGTTTTGAGGACATGCTTCTACCCAGCGGCTTCCTTCGGCGATTTCGGGGCTGAACTACTCTTGATCAACGTGCAACATATTGGGCTGAAATGAAAAATGATGATCACGAGAAGCTTATAAATATGAAAGAGTGGACAAAAAGCTAAGAAAGACACATGCAAAAAAAAAAAACCCATCAGAAAGCTACCGAATTCGGACGCCGGGAGTCGAACCCGGGGCTCCCACCTCACTTGGAGTTCGGTTCGTTATCACCAAGAGTGGGCGTGCACCGTGCACCGCGTCCGAGTTCCTATCCCTGCTGTCAACTTGGTGAGGTGGAAGAGTTTTGAGGACATACCTCTCTCTTCCCAACAGCGCCGCGATCGGAATCTTGGTTGAACTGCTTTACTCGGTCAACATTAAATCAGAAATCATCGTGGCCAGAAGCCCACAAGTACGATTGAGTAGATCGACAAACAGCTAAGAAAGAAAGAAAGAAACATGCAAAAAAATGAGTGTACACACCGAATTCGGACGCAGAGAGTCGAACCCAGTCCTCCCGCCTCAGTTGCATGTTGTTGCTCGGGAAGAGTGAGCATGCACCGTACACCAAGTCCGATTACTCTCTCACCTTTAATCTTGGTGGGATACAAGATTGGTGGGGCCGTATCGCATCGTGAATAAAAATATCGAAACAAAAACAGAACACGAACCTGAGCAGCTGCAGAACACACGACACGACAATGGGGAAGAGAAAAGAAAAAGAACAAAAAGAAGCGGTCTATGACGAAGAACTCGGAAGAACTCGGACGCCGGGAGTCAGTTTTTTTGTCCGACGCGGAGTGAAAGTGGGTGTGCACCGTACACCACATCCGATTAACCTCTTGCCTTCAAGTCCTCCGCTGTCTGTTTGTCGTTGAGCACAAACAGCCCAGAAAGAAAGAAGCATGCATAAAAAAACAAGAAGGTGCGCACTGAATTCGAACGCCAGGAGTCGAACCCGGTCCTCTCACCGCGTTCTCTACGCAGATTGCCAAGAAAGAAGGAACGCGTGAAAAAAAAAAATCAATGAACGAGCACAGGATTCAGACGCCGGGAGTCGAACCCGTTCCTCCCACCTCAAGTAGCCACTTTCCTTGCCACTTTTAGGAAGGGGTGCACCGTGCACCACGTCCGATTATTTTCACTCCTTCAAGTTCCCCACTATCTGTCTGTCTTTGAGGTACAAACAGCTGAGACGGAAATATGCAGAAAAAAAACGGAGATGAGCTCTGAACTCGGACGCCGGGAGTCGAACCCGGTCCTCCCACCGCATTTGCTACGCAGATTGCTTAGGGAGTGTGGGCCTGCACCGTGCACCACGTCCGAGTTCATATTCCGCTGTTCAACTCCGCGAGGTGAAAGAGTTTCGAGGACATCGACCCAACGGCGCCAGCTTCCTTTGCCGATCTCGGAGCTGAACTCTTGGTTGACTTGATTAACGTTTCAATGTCCTAGGCATAAGCATAATTGAGTAGACAACCCGCTAATAAAGAAAGAATGAGACATGCAAACATAAAGTAAAAAACCGTCTAGGCAAAGGCCAATTCGCACGCCGGGAGTCGAACCCGGTCCTCCCACCGACTTTTCTATGCAGATTGCATACCCTCAGGAAGTGTGGGGGTGCACCGTGCACCACGTCCGATTTATTTCACTCCTTCAAGTCCTCCACTATCTGTCTGTCTTTTGAGTACAAACAGCTGAGACGGAAATATGCAGAAAAAAAACAGAGATGAGCTCTGAACTCGGACGCCGGGAGTCGAACCCGGTCTTCCCAGCTCAATTTCTCGATCCTGGTCCAATCAGGGTGGGTGTGCACCGTGCACCACGTCCGATTAATCTCCCTCCTTTCCTCGCATCTTTACTTGTGGGTGGGCGGCAATTGGAACGCAGCGGGAGAAGAAGATTATCAGGACCGAACCATGGCAGTACTCCTACTCCATGGGCGTCAAGTCAATTTCCAAGGTAGCGGCGGAACGTACTCACTCACCGTCGTTGCCTCGGCCCTTATTTCATTAAATTCCTCGCCCTGCGTTCCGAATCCCAATCCCTGGACGCAGCGAGATCAATATCGAGCACAAGACCAGGATACAGTGAGTACGAATCACTGCGGTGGCTGCTGCGGTGATAAGGGGCTATGATACGCGCCCGCCCGCGGCCGCTTGAGGGTCTTCTTTTCTCCACCGGAGTCGGAGTCGGACCGGACCTGAATGTGGGGAAGACGGTGACATGAGGATGCGGGGTGCGATGACGACGGCGGTGACGTTGAGGTGTGTTGTGCGTCGAGTCAAGGGGGGACTTTGAGTCAACGGAGGAACAGCAGAAGAGCAACAGCAAGAGTAGAAGAGCAAGGATTGTATTTGAGGGAGTGGAGTGACTCCAACTTTGCTTGTAGATCGATGCGGTGCAGGATCCACGGAGACTATGATAGAATGCCGAAATGAATGAACGGATCTAGGAGACATCAGGACCGAGAATAACTCCTGTCATAGGCTAAGCGCACGATGCCGTGGTGATGGGAGTGATTCATTTTGTTTTTGACGTGGTGGATATAGATGTGATAGATAGATAGATGGGAATGGAGGGAGTCGGTGTGTGTGTGTAGACGGAGAGAAAATAACTTAACTGCTTCGCAGATGAGGGAAAGGAAGGAACGCCAACAGACGAGTATCGATGGACATGCATATGTATCACCGCGAGAAGTGTGGAGGTGCGCGGAATGCGAGGCGCCCGGAGCAATGTCGATGGCGACATTTCCGCAGTCTGAGTTGATGTACGGCAGGCAGGGACGTACAAGGCGCGGCAGGGACGCGGACGCGGACTAGACGCGAATGTGGACAGGACCACTATCTAGCAGGATCCGATATGAATGTGAGCCTCGTGCGCCACGCGAGGGTGCAGAGGGGAACGTGGGGGTGGCGAGGCGAGTCAACTAGACGAGGGACGGATACAAATGATTCAAGTTGGAGAGTGAGGGAGTAAGAGGTCAGGGAAGCGGGTAGAGGCGAGAAAGGGTAGACGGCGAACTAGAGAGGCGCTGCGGTCAAGACGGTAATACGAATAAAGACACGCTCGGTGATTGTCACGGAGATAAGATCGGAGGCAAGACATAGGTTTTTCCCCTGCAACTGGACTAGTGTGGCGTCGTAGTAACTGAATACAACCTAATCAGACAAGGGCAAATGTAATGCAAGCGATGCAAAAGGACAGAAGATGAACGAATCAAAAACGGCATAAGACCGAGAGAGGAAATTGCTGCCGCGGATCGCATGATGGCCACGTGGCACGTGGCGTCACTTAAAAAAATTTGCGTCCACAATCAGCATGTCCCTTTCTCCGTCTACCCTCACCAGCCCGTCTTCGAGCGTTCGCTCTGCTACTCTCAGCTGAATTGCTGCACCGACGACCCGCCGATTGCGATTGGATACGATTTCAGCAGAGCACGCACGCGCGCTGACTCAGGCATACTTGAAGGGGCTTGAGAAGCCGTCCTGAAGAGGGAGGAGGAAAACGCGAATCGCGAAGTGAAAACATGACGGAATACGATTACAGCCCAGACGCGTACGAACGCTTTCAGAAACAGCAGCAGCGAGTCGGGCTCTGGAGCGAGACTGTGGGGCGGGTGACCCCGGCGGACCCGTTCACACCCGCCACACCGGCTGTCTCTGCAGCCGATCTACCGCGGAAATCGTCGAGGCGGAGGACACGGTCAAGCGAGGAGCGCGATAGGGACGACGGCGACAGAGACAGGGATCGAGACAGAGTCCGCGCGCGCTCGTCCACGCGCGACTCGGACAAGTCACGCCGACGCCAGCGCACACCACCACCGCCCCTCCCCACCGCTGCCTCGCCGCTCGAGCATTCGCGCAGCGGCGGCCCTCGCCCGCGCACCGCGCCCCCGCGGGGCGACGTCTACGGAGCCCAACAGCCGTTCTACGGCGCCCCTGGGCCCGGGCCCATGCCCATGCAATACTACCCTCCAGGGCCAGGCTACTTCTCCGCGCCCCCTTACCCCCAACCTCCTCCGCCACCCCCGCAAGCACCGCAACCACAGCGCCAGCACAGCCGCTCGCGTTCGTCCTCGCAGGCGCAGATGCCCCCACCGCCGATGCAGCAGCAGGGCATGCCGCCGCAGCCGACGCGCACGCGCAGCTACTCGTACGCGCCGCCGCCACAGATGCAGCAGCCGTTAAGATCGTACACCGCTCCTGGCGCTCCTGGATCGGGGCAGAAGGGGTATGTCTACCACCCAATCCCCGTCTCCGCGCCGCCGCCGCCGCCGGGCTATCCGAATCCGAACGCGGGATATGGGAACGGGTACGCGAGTCCCGGTGAACCGATACTCGCACACCCCGCGCTGTTTAACCAGCCGCGGATGGTGAGCCCGACGAAGGAGAGGGAGATGCCGTTTATTAAGCGGTTGTTCAAGTTTGGAAATGGGAGGGAGGGGAGGGAGAGTAGGAGTATTAGTCGGGAGAGGCGATGATTTTCTCTTACGCGCTACGTCCGCCACTTAGCCATTCTAGTCCCTGCGCCACCCACCTTACACCCTCCTCCGCGCCACCCCCCTCGCACCTCATCTCATCGTACATAGACACCCGTATAATTCCCCAACTACCTAAAATATTGGACACCTCGCGTGTATATACCTAACACTTGTATCTTTGTACTTTGTCTCTTGTTCTGCGAGTTTCCTATATATAGAGTCATGAAATTGTACTTGTAACAGCCGTGAACTGTTTTTGGTGTGAACCTCGCAGGTGAGCCAGTCACTGTGTGTCTTTCCGCGGACGCATAATCTCTAAGCGCCATGCACGAGACTTTATCTCCGAGCGCTATGCACGAGACGTTAGCCCCACTGGCATGATCCTCGTATTCTTGTCAGCACTCGCATGGAGGAGGATACCTCGGACGTGGTGCACGGTACACGCCCGCTCACAATTCGCTAGCAAAGGAAAATCTGGGTGCGGGTAACCTGGGTTCGACTCCCAGCGTCCGAATGGTGAAGTGTCTGTGCAATCTACCTTTTTGTTTTTGTTTCATTGCTCGGTTTGAAACTCACTCACCTATCCACCCGCGCAACCTGCAAGATAACTCGGATGTGGTGCACGGTGCACGCCCACTGTTCCTAGACGTTTCTCATTCTGACTGTTATATGGGGAGCCTGGGTTCGACTCCCAGCGTCCGGATGTTGACGTTCAGATGGTCCACCTTTTTATTTCTCGGACTCTTTGTTTGACCACTCACTCACTCGTATAACCGCCCACGCAACCTGCAGAATAAGTCGGATGTGGTGCACGACGCACGCCCACTGCTTCTACCTCGTTTGCGTCGGTTATGTGGGGAGCCTGGGTTCGATTCCCAGCGTCCAAATGGCGAAAGTTGCTTCAGATTTACCTTTTTATTATCTTTGATGTCTTATTTCACCGCTCGAAACTCACTCACCTATTCACTTACGCAACCTGCAAGCTAATTCGGACGTGGTCCAAGGTGTACGCTCACAATTTCTGGAGTATTTGTGATAGAATTATGTGGAAAGCCTGGGTTCGACTCCCAGCGTTCAAATGTGTTCGAATTCCAGGCATGTACCTTTTTAGTTCTTTGATTTTTGTTTCACTCCTCAATTTGAAACTCAGTCACCTAGGTATTCACTCCCAGAGGCTGCAGAACAACTCGGACGTGGTGCACGGTGCACGCCCACTATTTCTAGCTCTTCAATGATCAGGTTACGTGGGGAGCCTAGGTTCGACTCCCAGCGTCCGAATGTGCTCGAGGTGTGTACCTTTTTAGCTGTTTGATTTCTTTGTTTCATTCCTCGGTTTGAAACTCATTCACCTGGGCATCCACTCACAGAACCTGCAGAACAACTCGGATGTGGTGCACGGTGCACGCCCGGCCAATCCGTTCTCACAGAACCTCCTGCAGGATAAATTAGATGTGGCATACGGTGGACACCCACTGTTTCTATTGATGTCCCTTCGGAAAGTTAGGTGGGAAGCCTGGGCTCGTCTCCGAGCGTCCAAATGGAGGGTTATGTCATCAACTTCTTTTTGATTCAACAGATCTCCTCGTCCTCCGGGCTGTTCTCAATCGTTTTCATTTCGAGCGGTCAGATTCGCAGCGGATACTATCAGTTGGGTTTTAATTCAACATCTCAAGTCTGTTCATTACAGAAATCGAGATCCAGCTCAGATCTCATCTCATCTAGCTACCTAAGGCAGGATAACTCCGGCGTGGTGCATAGTGCACACCCGCTGCTTCTTGAAGGTTTTCCACTACGTTAACTTATGTGGGAAGTCTGGGTTCAACTCCCAGTGTCTGAATGGCGTCTAAATTCGTTAACTTCTTTTTCATTTCCCAGATCTCCGCTAAGTCGTTTTGAATCGTGTTAATTTCTAGCAGGCGGCGGATACTATCAGTGGGGTTTCCAAAATTCCGTTCAATGAAAGATGGAGATTCATATCTGGAATTAATTGATTTGAACCTCCGAACTCAACGCAAACGACGAACTTGTCAAGTGCTGACAAATTCCCGACGTTTCGGGCTACTTGGACACTCTCCGATGTTCCGACGGCCACGGTCCCCTCGAGAGAATCCACCCACCCTCATCTTTTGGCCTTGGGCCCGTACGCACTCCGAGTGCTCCCCCGCGACCGACTGCCTTCCTCCTCTACTTCGCGAATGCTCCCCTGTCGACTTATGTCTGCCTGGCAGCTAGAGCTAACAATTTATAGGTTCCTTGACCCCGTACTCAATTTTTTGTCTCCGTGTTCACTGCAAGATACCAACTCGCGTCTTCCGGCTTCTGGCTTGGTTGTGTGATTCGCATTTCTCATCACCATCTCGTGGATAAAGTTGTGCCGCCCGGGAGTTTGCGACTGCTGGTATTCCTGATGAAACTCTGGTGCCTTCGATACCATGGCTGGACAACCTCCCCAAGAGTCCCAGCGACTTGAATTCTACATCCTCGCCGGCTTCTGGTTGCGGTACCGTTCCTTCCGCTAGCTATAACTACTTACATCGCAACAGGCAAGATCCTCGTTCAAATCTGCGCTCTGGCCCAAGTGAAGATCACTGTAACGCAGCGTTTTAAACTCCGCGGATCCTCGTGCCCACTCGCTCACTCCCAGTGTCCGAATAACACGACAGCTCCCAAATTTTTCAATACTGTGCGGGTCGTGTGAGTGTCTGTCGACTGCTCAATGATCAACGCAATCTCCGAAAGCCACCCCAATGCAAACGGAATCAGATCCTCGTATTTCTGTGAGCACTCACTTGCAGCAGGGTACCTCGGACGTGAAGTATGGAGCGCACCCACTGTTTCTGCCTTTATTAACTACATCACGGTTCCGTGGGAAATCTGGGTTCGACGCTTATTGTCTGAATAGCAGCTATCCGAATATACCACCGACGTGGCAGGTTCATGTTTCTGGACTCCGAGTAAGTCTCAAGTTCAGGGTTTGATTTACTGTACGCGCCAGAGATATTGCCCAGATAACTAAATAACATGAGCCGTACTCAGGATAGTATCGCCCATCGCCCAATCTTGGAAACTCAAAAACACGATCCAGAGGACGGTTGCAATGGAAAGGCAAAAAAAACCCCTTAGCTTGCCACTGGTTCGGTTCGACTCCCGGTGTCCGGAATGCCTGTCTTCCTGCCTCGCCACCCTTCTCCGAGAGTAGCCCGGACGTGGTGCATTGGGCACATCTTCTAGCAGTGCATGGTGTCGTATCTCATGCAGAAAGACCGGGTTCGATTCCCGGGGCTCGAAATTCTCCGCGTGTCCGTTTTCTCCTTCCTTTCAAGGAATGCGACAGAACAGATATGTATTCGACAACGTACACCTGCTCTTTGCTTTTGACTCACATCCAGTTCACCTCATCCCACCGTTTCCTCTCGCCCCGCCTCAGTCTACGCAAGACTCTCACTTCTTTCACTGTTCACATAGATGTCACATGGTGCAAGGTGCGAAAGAGAACAGTAGGGTGGGAGAACTAGACTCGACTCCCAGCATCGGAGATTGTCTTCAAGTTGTAAATTCTGTTTTATGTTGGTCGTTTTGCTCCTTTGCCGGCTTTCTTTTGTTGACGCTGTTTCTGTGTAGTCCCTTGATTGCAATTTGAGTCGAGTCGCTGGTTCAATAAAAATCTATTACCAAGATCCCAGTGTGGGAAAAAAAAACGGGTACCTCGTACCTTACGCAGTCAGATCATTGCACCCTGATAGTTCAACCAAGAATTCAGCTGTAAGATGCCCTAGGCAGGCTTATACCGAATTGAAAATAGGATAAGAGCTCGGATGTGGTGCAAGCTCTCCACTCTTTCTGAAGAAATACAGATGGGAGGACCAGGTTCGACTCCCGGCGTCCGAATTCAATCTTGTCGAGGCTTTTTTTTTTGCTTGTTTCGGTCTTCGCTGTTTGTCTACTTACAGCAGATGTCAGTACCGCGCGGGTCGGAAACTTTCTGTTTTCGGATGTGTTCAAAGAATTGTTTGTAACTCAATCAATTCTCCACCAATTCAGATGAAACGTAGATGAATCTGTGAAGCTAATCATGCACAATTAATAATCAAAATAATGCATGAAATTAGTATGTGTGTAATAATCAATGGTTTTGTGCTGTTTTTGTGCCAAATGCCATCTAGCATGCTTAGAACATGTCCCAGTGACCTAATATTTTGAGAGGGACAAAATGTATACCTAAGAAAACATATGATAGAGCCAGGAGTATGTATAATTTCATTATAGTCTCTCTATCTCCGTTGTATATATATGGCTGGTTTGACATTCAGAGATATTGTATGGATTACATTTATGTAGTGGTTCCATATAAATCTGGCTCTATCACTTTTCTCCTCAGGTATACATAGTGTCCCTCTAAAAGTATTAGGTCACTGGAACATGTTCTGGGTATGCTAGATAGCATTGGGTGCAAAAAAGGCCCCAAAACACAGATTCCTCAATACACCATATTTTCATACTTCTGCACAGAGCTCATGATCATCGTTTCTCATTTGATCCCAGTCCTTCCACGCTGATCAAGACAACTAGCTCAACCAAGGTTTAAGCCCGAGATCGCCGAAAAAGCAGTAACACAATTGAGCACTGCAATGTTCAATTGTATGTCGTGCACAGAGCATGCTCAATTTCATTATTTGAGGCCTATGCTTCGGGTTGAAGTGAGAAGAATGAGCTCGACTCCCGGCGCCTAAATGGTCTAGAAGGGAATGAGGTAGGCCCTCGGCCATTTACGACCAAAGGGCGAAAAAAGAGTCGTATAGTACCTCGTCAGTTCGTGAGATGTGCAAGTTCGTCACTTGATCGAGGATCGTCGTCACTTGATGGCAAATGTTCGTCAGATCAGAGGTAAGCGAGAGAAAGCCCGTCGGATGTGTGCCCGTGCTCCAAAAGCACTGAAAGTTTGTCAGATATCCATGAAAGTTCGTCGGATGTCACAATTCAGCCACCCATTCCGTAATTAATTCAATTTGGTGCCTGGTGATGCGCTTGTCGATTCTTGTCCTCTCCCATCATCATCTCTGCCCGCCCCCGCTCTAAACGCTCGTACGGTAATCATCCAATCGCTGACCACCAACTGATAGTCACATATGTCTACAGGCGGCAATGGATGGGTCCCAGTATCCCCCCAACTTTTGGGATGGCAACGAAGGGCAGCGGCAGTACATTTCTTTCTGCTTTGAGCTCAGCAATCTCACCAGCTGGCAGAGTACATCCCCTTGTCGATTCGGCTTCAGTCTCTGATAACCCGCATTTGTTCACTTTTCCCGGTATGCTGTTGCTCCGTGCGGCCCGTGTGGTACTTACGCTGTTCCGCTTTCAGCCGATTACGCTGATATCCCGCCGTGTTCTTTGCCCAACCGGCACTGCCTTTGGATCTGCCTCTTAATGCGCCAAAACCTGTCGAATATTCTTACTCTGATGACAATCATTGTTTAGATTTATCTTCCTTTTGTCCCGAGTTATTGGCTGTCGGTTTACGCACCAGCCGAGCAGATCCACTTGTGGGATGAGCACGCAGTACAGCCGCGGTGGGAGGATTGTAGTTTCAGGCGAGATCCTCGGTTTCACCTGATAACTTTATGCTAATGTTCTGCCAACTTTATTCCTAGTTTTCAACCAAGCTTGGCATGCACCCCGTCCACTGGTTCTAGTGCAGGAGGTTCA